TCAGCTGTCTTGGCAGAGCTGATCAGCACCAAAGTTGGAGAAAACTTCACATGAGGAGATTCACAGAACTCTGAGGAAATACAGGGACTTCTGAAACCAGCACGGTCACATTCCTCATTTTATGGATGAGTCTGGAAACATTGAGAGAATCCCAAAGGTCACTCCGTCAGTGCCAAGAAAAAGATCTGCCTCCCAGACAAAGTTCTTCTTCCCCACCCTTTGGCTTTCTGGGGATCTTGAAAAGAATTCTGTTCCCCAGTCTGGGGCTTTCTAGATATAGAGGTGGGGAGGGGGATATAGCTGGAGGACCTTCTAGATGCATGATTTTCTAGATCTGTTCATACTGTTANAGGGGGATATAGCTGGAGGACCTTCTAGATGCATGATTTTCTAGATCTGTTCATACTGTTATTATAGAGCAAGCAGCATATTCAACTGAGTTGTTAAATCCAGGGCTGGCTACTGTTGGCTGCAAACAGATGCCACTTTCTCATCCTGTGTCCTTCCCAGACACCCAAGGCCATACGAAGGAAATGTGGTGGAGGGAAGAAGCCTGCGCATGAATCAGGTGGAACTGTGTCCCCAGCTCTACCACTTCTGGTTGCATGACTGGGACAGGTGACTTAACTGCCCTGGGTCTCAGTTTCTTCATCTGTCACATGAAGATTATAATATACATTTATTCTGCCAATAAATGTGAGTGCCTTCGACAAGCCAGGCCTTGTTGAAAGATCAAGTTGAGAGAATGCATATGACTCTGCCACTCCAAAGTGTGGCAGCAATAGTCCCTCCCCACGTGGGAGCTGCCACTATGATTCCCATTGTCGTCAGTAATATTATGGTCATCATCGTTTTCATTTTCATTGTTATTTTTCTCACCTCTTTCCCTCTCGAGGGGAAGATGTTTCAGTGCGTTCCGACAGGAAGCCCTTCTCAGGTACTTGGTGTCCCAGTGGGAGGAAACACACACGTACACACAGCAGTAAGGTACACACGATGAGGTGCACATGGGAAGTACAAGACCGGAAGTCTCTCCGGGTTGTGGCGCTCAGGGGAGGCGTCCCGAGGATATGACACAAAGGAGGGCCAAGGCGTTGGTGGGATTTGGTAGGATAAAAGAGGGGGATAATAATGACCTAGACTTGGGACAGAATGAATGACAGATATTTAGGGACAATGGGGAAATAAACTAATGAGAGAAGTTTTGGCAACTGTTTTTGGTTGTGATGGTACAGGCAGANGGGAAATAAACTAATGAGAGAAGTTTTGGCAACTGTTTTTGGTTGTGATGGTACAGGCAGAATTAAACTTCATGTGATGTTTCTGTGCTCCTCAGTTTTGGAAAGGAATGGGGTGGAGGACCAATTTTCCTCTTTGGGAATTATTAGAATACAGCAACAGATTCAAAGAGCCAGGGTAGTGGGAGATGAGACTGGAGGAGTAATTTGGAGACACGTGAAAGAGGCTTAAAGAATTGCCCCTTGATTCAGTGCTATGAAATATGTTCATTCTAAAGACATTTGCATACAGGAGATTTTAATATGATCAGGTCCTCATTTGTCCTGTAAATTTGGATATTCATTTCATATTTTCTTAAAATGAGTCACTCTGGCTTTCACGTGTCAGTATATTATCCATAGACACTACCATATGTGGTTTCTCTTCTGTTGATGACTAGTGCCTCCCTGTCAACTGAAAAGGAATTTTCTTCTAATAAATCTTTTTCAGATGAGTAAGCATGCCAAGAGAGATTAATTGGGCAATGAATTATTAAGGCAGAATTATTAAAGAGTTTCTATACAGAGGTTCCAGCCATTTCCACTAAGGTTTTGCCCTGTCTGGCTCCAAAATGACTAAAGCAACATCATCTATCATTTCATGGAACATTTTTCTGATATTCTAACCTGAGTTTTCCCTACTTCATACCTCCTTTTTTTTTTTTTTTTCCTTTTTTGTTTTTTTTCGTGACCGGCAACGGATCGCAACCCTCAGTG